TTCCCATCGTGGAAATTGAGTCACTGAATACAAGTGTCAGAGTGTGTGTTCAGCACATAAAATTTTCAAAAACCTATATAAGCATCGACGCCAGGTACGATGCTTTAGAGCCTTATATCGATGAGCAGACCATGCGAATCCATCACGGGACACTTGGAGGCAACGGACCTTTGAGCAAGCGGTGAACACTCATGGTATATCAGATGCTATGGCATGACAGCTTGGGTTGAAGATGGGTAGCACATGGAGCTAGAACTCTAATGCCATTTGTGAAATGCATATGTCTTTGTGACAAGGCCAACCGCAAGCACTCTCAGAATGGTCAATTATGGGCACCGCAGAGCACTGTGAAGTTGTCCATGCTGAGATTCTATCTTTCACAGGAAGGCAAACGCCTTTTCTTCCAAAGGCCAACAAAAGCACGGGTCGTCTTCCGAGCCAGAAAACAAGATCAATCATGAAATAGGTCCCCGGTCCGCTGTTTCTGACCGTGTCCACGAGGAAGCACCATGCAACCTACGTGGCTGGACTGAATGCAGAGCTTCAAGGAAAGAAGGTTTCAGGCCGGGAGACTGAAAGTGTGGAGCACGGACCTGAGAATCGCCTCCAACCTACTAGCGATGGCCTCCAAAAAAGGAAAGAAGGTCTGCCGGGACACGAATCCGAGGCACCATGAGCGCCAATGAGGAGCGCAGAACTCCGTACGTCAATGGGGAACAGTCCAAAGTCCAGCAATCAGCAATCAATGGCCAAGTGAAACTTTGTTCTTTGCATTTCTTAGCTATTTTTATGGGTTCCGGTCCGTGTGGTCACCTACGACCCATGCATACCCACACTTACCCATTGTTTGAAGAACATAAGAGGCTATAAGAGGGTCACCTTTTCCTGTGTTGAAACCGACCTTGCAACCGTCCCTGAAACTGCCGTGTTTGCTTCGCAGGTGATATGGTTGCGCTGGCGGAACTGCAGCGCACGGCGCCGGCGACATCTCCGGCGACGCGAAACCATGGAGGCGCGACACTGGCCGCCGAGTGGAAAGCGGTCAAACTGGAGGGGTCAAGTGGCTAAAAGTAGCATAGCTATTTGACCAGGGTCTTCAGGGTCTTGGTGTTTGTGTGCCACATCTAGTGAGTCTACATCTATAGTATTAAACATGGATGGGCATCTTGGCATGAGAAACAATCAGTAGCTTCTTGCTCCGTTCGCATTCGATGCCCTTTGCTCCGTTCGTAGCGTCCGATCGCTCCTTGTAGTAAGGCCAGGAGCCCTGATCGTAGCTTCTTGTTACTAGTAGTAAGAATGCTCCGTTCGTAGCGATGCCAGGAGCTCCCTTCGCAGCGTCCGATCGCTCCGGCCGTTAACCCAATGGCCCCTTGGGATGACGATTCGACGATGTGCTTGAAATCCTTCATGACGATGTCGCCAGTCGTGCCCCTCCGCATGGTGCCGCTCCGCACCATGTGACCGCCCTCCCTGCCTCCCGGGCCGCTTGTGACCGGAAGATTGGTTCGCCATTGAGTGAGGTGGTCACTACAACCATGCACTCTTTTGGGCACCTCGCTGGTGAGCGTGGGATCTGGCAGGTGAGTGAACACGTGCGCACTTCCGCGGGAAGACATGGCAACGAAAGCGATATGGAACCCATGCAGACCTTACTGATCCATGTGATCAAACATATAGAATAGCTAGGATTCTTGGCTCACAACAGCACAACCAAGATTTGTTTAGCAATGGTTGGGCACACCATGTACAATGGAGCCACACGATGTCATTCTCGCGGAAGGACTCGGGCGTGGGGACGGGTAGGGGTGGTTAGAGCAAGTGCAGCCAACGTTCAACGATGTGTCCGACATAGTTTGTGCCTCCCAACACCAGGCAAGCACCAAAGATTATTATAGTATGTTTTGGTCTTTTATTGATCGAGCACTTAACAGGTGCAGTTTTGTTGCATGTTGGAGTACTCTAAGTCGAAGGGTTTTTTTTCAATGGCGCCTATCCAGAAACAATGAGACATTGCGCCAAGACGTTTGCAGATCCTCCCAAGAGTACGGGACAGGTCTTTAGCAGCTTAGCAGCTTTCAGGAGCCAGTTTCTTCTGTGAGATGTGTATTGAACATCAGGGATTGTCTACGGTTGGAGAAACCACCTGTCAAGTTCCTCAGGCTTTACAAAGCTGTACATGATTGAGCCAAATATGTTCATGTTCACGAAAGCCCGCCGTTAGGCTAGGCTGAAAATACTTTCTGCGAACGAAGTGAGTCCTTAGGGGTCTGGGGGGGGGGTAGGTCGGATAAAGCGGATGAAAGCCATCTTAGCCTGCTGGTGATTTTACTTTGCCAAGGTGGGTTTTGGCGGGTTGGTGACGCAGAAGATGCAAGGTGAATGGTTTAGTGCATCTTTGCATCAGCAACCTGCTCTAACGACACCATTTAGTTTATATATGTATGCATGTGTATATTGAATGTTTGGGTGACATTCTACTCAAACTTGCTGGTTCACGGTATTTACTTGTGAAAGTCAATTGCACGATGCGGCCTTTGCTGGCGGGTGATGGTGCAGGGCTGGTGGATGAGGAAGCTCTCCTCTTCAAACCATGGTCTCATAGGGGTCCTATAGGCTTGGATTCTCTTGGCCCGCATCCCTCAATCAGCCCTAGACTCATTGCAAGCAGGTTGGAAGGACACGATTTTCTATATTACATTATATATATACAGTATACAACAAAATATAGCAAACATCACCATTACGGTGTATTATGGTTATTACGGACGAGTTTTCTTCTTCATAGATCAAAAAGGAAGACTTATTTCTTTCCAGGAAGAGGAATCGCTGTATACGGTGCTGCAGGGCGTTTTGAGATGTGCTACGTAGTTGGTCGACAGCAGTTGGTTGCTCCTGGCTTTCGTTTCCGACAACAGGGTATCCACACACCAATCACCCACGACACCCCCCACTCCTTGGACCCGTCGCTCTCCCAGGTGAACCTGGCCTCTGCCAGCGGGTCCTCGGAACCGTCGCCCGAGCTGGGCGCCGCCATCGAGGATCGCTTCGGTGGACTCGACGGTCTCAAGGAGGCGGAGATCGATCCGGTGGATTCCGGGAGACCTCTGGGGAGTCCTGTGGGGAGGTGAGTGCTGGAGACGAAGGAGTTTGTTTGGATATCGGTTGGTGTCTTATGATCGCGGCCATAGCGCGATCATCCATTTTCATGCGTTTTTTTTCCCTTCTGAGTGCAATAAAGCAAAGGCTCCCGACACAACCAATCCGTTTGGGTCGAAGTGGACAGAGGCTAGCTCAAAAAGTGTTAAAAGCATGTATGTGGGGATGATTGGAGACCTCAACTATCTTCTCCTCCTTGTTGGAAGCTGTATAATCCACCTGAGGAGGAACAAAAGGAATACTCATGAGGATGAGTTTTTTTTTGGAGAAGTAGGCTACTGGCCAAGACCATATGGGTGCATGAAATGCCTTCATTTCGAGTATGTGTCATCCCTCGGCTGTTGGGAGGCCTTCAATAAGATAGCTTTGA